TGCTCGCTTTTCACTACGTTACTGCCCTCTTCGTTCCCAATCAACTCTCACCTCTGATTAACATCTTTCGAAATCTGCGGAGTGATGCGGGAGCCTAGATGCGGCAGTACGCTCGCCGGCAGGTTTGTGAAGGTAGATGGGAAAAGATACCTATGATAATGTGTGCGAGGCGGTAGAAACAGAAAAGGGACAAGTAAACGGCGGCGACTGGTGAGGGAGCAGGTGTTTGTAGACGGGCGAAATTAGCCTTCAGGGGCTAGAGATGAAGGGACGAGCTTGCGCTGGTGTACTCTCAAAGAAACGTTGAGAGCAAGGAGTCACAGCACTGCAGAACATGCTTATGCTGGATTTAAATAAAAAATTCACCGTTATTATGTCAGATGCAGGGAATATAAAAGCTCTAGAGCTGACCAAGACGAATAATTTGCCATAGGATTTCCCCAGAAAGCGAAGCGGATGGACTGACAAAACCGGGAAGTCAGGAGGGCAGCTTCATTTTGGAGCGCAATGGATCTACAAGATAAATAAGAAGGCTAATGGCCAACTAGGCTAGGTTGGTGCGCGAATCCTACAGGAGGCGATTAACAAAATTAGCGATAAGTAATTCTTGAGCCCGTGGTGTACCAGTTTAGTTGAATTTGGGAACGCCCATAATCAAGAAAAAAAATAAGCCTAGCTGCACATCGATTTGTAGCATTTCCTAGGGTTGGGCCTGTCCCAATCACTACCGTGTAGATTCAACGGGAGGTAAAAACTCATTCACCAGCTGCACTTCCCCGTAATTGCTAATCAGCGCAATACACAAAAGAAAGACACGATATCATTGCTTCCTTTCAAAGCCATTCCAAGCCTTTAAGCCTATACTTGACAATTTTTTCTGTATGGCATAGTAACGTGCCACAACCATGTAGCGCGATAAAAAAAATGGGAGTAGCGGAGGGCTGGATCGGGGCGGGATCTGGTGTGCTTCGATGTTGTAAGTCCCAAAGAAAACCAAACCAACACACAAACCCTCGTGCATAAGAAATATATACTTGATGAATTGTTCCATGAGGTTCTTCGTTATATCGCATCATGTGTCACGTTATACGCTTCCGCCTCGAATCAAGCAGATTCACGTCTTCCACTGGCTCCGCGTGCAAGCGGTGCTCAGAAGAGCCATGATATCGTGTTCCTGGGGGAGTAAACGCTCCGTTCCAGCTTTTTCAAGCTTAAGCAGGCTATGCAGGAGGATGGATATTAATGACTGATACATTTCACGGGGTCTTCACGTGCATTCGCCCCATCTACGGGTATGGCTCTCGTATCTTTCGTCCGTGTTTAAAAGTCATATGGGAGCATTCTTCCCTTTTTAGAAATAGACGCATTGACTTATCTCCTGGACTAAGCGCTTGCCATGCTGAACCCCTACGACATGGAGGGCGGACTGATCTATTTGCTCCTGTGCCTCTTCGTACAAGTAGGGGCTGCTGCCGTCGACAAGCCTTTGTTAATGCTTTATACGGAGGAGGAACGAGAAACGGTACAGCTTAGGGACCCACGGGATCAGCAAGATGACGGCTTGCCTCCGGATGCTGGTGGTGTAAGCCAACAGCATACTGAGGGGAGATCACATGGGGGTGCAGCTGATCCTTATGGTGTGCATTCAGAAGTAGAACAAGGTACTGGGTGGGCCGACACCGAATCAGATTCTTATACGCTTGCTGAGCTGCTTCCTACTGATATTCAAGGTCCAGCTAATCGGAAAGGGAGCAACAAGGCAAGCCGCAGTGCCTACAGGAGCTTTATGAACTTTGTACAAAAGCCCTCACTACCGAACGTTTTAATGGTCGCCACTATCATGTTCACTTCGTATCTTCTTCCTGTGATCGTTTGGAGGCTTCTGAATATAACTTTCACCTTCTGGGTAGCGGCAAAAGCATTGCAGTTACGAGAAGAGTAAATTGGCATGCAGAAGATGGGGCATGACCGCAGACACCGACGTCGTTCTACTATGCAGCATGGATGTCAAGATTGAGCGGTGGTTACACTTGCGTCCTTCGCCTGCAGTGCTAAGCTGTGCTCTCATAGTGTGGAATTTTGTTACATGTTCCCGACGCAGAAGGACTCTAATCTAGCAGGCCTCTTTTAAAGCTGTGCCTAGTACTCATCTTTACGCAGGGGGGAGCGCCTCTAGAGATATTGAAGGGCCCAGCGAAGCTTGACTGCCCCTCAGCAAGAGTCGCAGCTCTACGGGGGGAAACACTGCCATCCTACTGCCTCTCTCCACAAACCCCGGCCCCCGCCAACAACCTATTTTTAATTTGTCGCTTATTTATAAGTTCTGTTACTTTTTTGGGCCCCCTCTACACGACGGGGTAGCAGGCATCCCTCATGTGGGGTGGATGCACTTCGGTGGAGATCACAAAATGTGTTAACCAAACTGTATAAAACCCCATTAAAACTTTTCGAGGACAAACCAACATTTTCAATATTCCCCCAAATCGTTGCAAACATGCTCCGTAAAGATATCTATATATCAACAAAACTTAGCTCTATTTCCTCGTTTTCACGCTCACTTGGCTGGTTGCTGCACGCGGGTAAGTCGCTCACAGCACCAGAATGAAAAGCCTTCGTTGCTAGATACAATTAATTGCTTTAATGGAGCAGCCAATTTCGTGCAAAATTAGCACTTCAAGACTCTTTAGTGAGCAAAAATGGTCTCTGCGCTGCACTTGTGCGTGCAAGGCAAGGTGCAGCTAGCGATAAGATCCTCTTTATTTTCGCAGCTGGCCGTTAGTGCTGATAAAGGTACAGCAGCTTTTTGGAAGTATAATATCGAGATCTCTGCACATGCGAGGCTGCTGGCCCTTGAGAATATCGAATGGCCGTACAAGGCTCTACTGCACTTCCAACAGGTGCTGGAGCTCTACTTCAGGTAGCTCGTCTGCTAGCCATTTGCCCCTTCCACAGATTATGGCCCCTATGGACGATTTCTGGAATCACGTTTAATAATGCGTTTCGGTGATGGCCTGAACCTACAGGACGCTGGGGCAGTAAGGGCCTCACATGCGGAGTTAATTCGTGCATATGGAGCTTTTAAGCGTAGTGGCTGCTGCAGCGGACCAAACTAAGCTCAAACACCTTTACTGCACTACTTACATCTAAATTAAAAGTAGAAAAAGCTCGATACAATATGGCGCAACGCATTGTGCGTGCGAGTTGGAGACTGTGTGCATCTAGCTGTGAATCCTCGGAGTGCTAAGGATGTGCAGTTACGCGCGCCGTAGCTGTTCTCTCATCATGAAATAAAAGTATAGGGCAAGGGCAGGGGACGGTAGGAGATCTTTAGGAAGGCACTTGAGAACATTTGACACAGTACGTCAAGCCTGGAGTCTGGCATCTTCCCACAGAGACCTTAGCTGGAGTATTTAGTATATCGAATTCAGCTAGTGCTTTTAACCAGTTCTTCGAGAAGCAAACCTGGGTGTGTTAGAAACTGCCTGAGTGTAGCTTCATTCAACTACGCCAGCTCACCGTACAACGCCGGTAGATGTGGACCAGAAAAATACAGAACCAACGCGGTGCGCCATGAGACCACGGATCACAAAGCCTCAACACTCCCGGGTATGCATTTTGTCACGCTTATACCTCGGGAAATTCCTACTCTCAACTAAACAAGGGGGCCCCCACTGGTTCACTTTACCTCCATATCCAAGAGGTGGCCAAAGTGGCGCGCCGCCTCGTTGTGTATTTGCCTTCTATTCTGCAGTTTTCTAGAGGATGCGCACGATGTAGGGAGCATCTATTTGGGTGCATGCCCCTTGCATCAGCTGCCACCGCTGCCCAACAGCAGCTGCCGCCTCTGCCCACCAGCAGCCGCATGCGGCGCTAAACACAGCGAGAGCAGTCTCGGCGCTAACGGGGCTTTCCGATTATGGCATTTTGGCTTTTAATTCTTAGCCTGCAACTTCTTGCCTTCCTATTGTTTACTCGAGGTCCACAGAAAGCAAACAAGGGGCCCAAGTCCGCCGAGTATACGGATTGAACTTTCCAGCCTGCAATTCTGTACAGGACCGCGCTTTTTACTCATATTCTCTGTTTTACACTTCACCATTTCTAGATTGAACTTTCGTCGAAGCCGAGGAGCAGGGGAAGCAATCCCGTAGAGCTCGCGGCGCCCCTTCGAGCAGACTCAGCGCATCTTGTAGTTCTCCGAACCTCTCATGGGCGGTTCGAGAACACCAGCACTGCACGATTCTGGAACCTCATAAAGCTGCGCACTTCATCACGAATAAAAGCTGAGAGTCCAGCTTGGCAGTTGCACCATCCCTGCACGTGGCTCCTACGGCGGGGTACCACCGCCTTGAGTCTTTTCGGCTGCGACAAGGAGGCGTTCATTCCGCCTTCTCAGATACAGACGACCTTGCATGCGTCGCTGATTGCTTTCGTGATAGCGAGAAAGTCTGCTAGCTCAGCTTCCTCGCCAGCTCATGCAGTGGCTGCGGCTGCAGGGCGCAGCAGCTGCTGCTGCTGCTCTTCCCGCTGCAGCCGTCTAGACTACCCAGTCGTGCCAACTTGTATGGAAGCAGCACACATATTCAGGCAATAATCCCACGACTGCGCTTTTGCTGTTGCAGCGCCTGCCGCAGCAAAAGCAGCAGCGACCCTACGGACGCGCGGCTCATAGAAATGGCCAGCAGTATTTTTGTGTGAAGCAGCTACAGCAGCAGCAGCTGCAGCAGCAGCAGCAGATCTTCCAGAAGAACAACAACCAACTATTGGAGCAAATGAATCTGACGCAGCAACACGTGGTGGCGCAGCAGCAGCAGCCTCAGCGGGCACTGCCGCAGCAGCAGCAGCATCCGTTGCAGCAGCAGCATCCGTTGCAGCAGCAGCATCCGTTGCAACAGCAGCATCCATTGCAAGAAACGCAAAGTGCGCATCTGCAGCTGCCACAACCGCCGCTATCACAGCAACATCTCAACAGCGCACAAGTGTCAGCCCGATTGCAAGGATCCATGTTCGACTTGGCTCCTCTTACACCAGCCGCAGCAGCCGCAGCTGCTGCGGCTGCCACACCCCAGTTGTCGCCTAATCCTGCACAGCAGCTGAGTACCCAGCAGCAGCAGCAGCAGCAGCAGCAGCTGCTTGCCCAGCATGGGCTGTTGCAGCACTTCCAGCAGCAGCAGATGCAGAAACAACAGCAACTGCAACAGCAGCTCCAGGTTGGCCTCTTCAAACCGCAGCAGCTCGTGCAGCAACAGCAGCACATGCGTCAGCAGCAGCTGCAACTGCAGCAGCAGCTCCAACACCAGCAGCAGCAGCTCCAACACCAGCAGCAGCAGCTGCAGCAGCAGCATCAACTGCAGCAGCAGCATCAACTGCAGCAGCAGCAGCAGCAGCTACAGCAGCAGCAGCAACTGCAGCAACTGCAGCAACTGCAGCTGCTGCGCACACCCAACTCTCCTGGTTTGTATAGCGCCTTTTGCCGGCTGCTGCAGCAGCTTTCGCTGCACCGAATGACTTTGCGAGATGCTCGAGTGCGCGTGTTGCTGGTGATGCTGCGGTGGCTTCAGCAGCAGCAGCAGCAGCAGCAGCAGGCTGACCCTGCATGCCTGTTTCGAGAGGACCAGTTTGAGCGGCTTGTGCGGCAGACACGGGCGTACATGCAGCTGCTGCTGCAGCAGCAGCCGCTCAAGGAGGAGGAGTTGCTGCAGCTGGGTATTTCTCCCGCAGTAGGTTTCAAGCCGGATCGTCAGTTCTTGGCTGCTGTCGCTGCTGCAGCGGAAGGGGTGAGTGGTTACAAAGCACCAGCCCCCAAGCACCAGCAGCTGCAACGTCCAAGGAGTCATCAGCTTTTTGTGCAGCTGTACGACCAGCAGCTGCAGCTGCAGCTGCAACGGGCAGTCAGCGTGCTCGAGCGACAGGCGCAGAGGTACGAGGAGCAGGCACGGCTGCGGCTGGAGCAGGAGGAGCAGCAGCAGGAGGAGCAGCAGCAGCAGGAGGAGCAGCAAGAGGCTCAGCAGCAGTCGCTGCCCGTAGGCACGGCGGAAGGAGCAGTCCCCTCTAGGGACGGTAAGAAGAAGGAGGAAGAAGAGCAGCAGCAGCAGGAGAAGGAGGAATGCATGCAAGCAGCAGAATGTGGTGCCTGCAGTTCTGATAGTTCGGGTGTCGTGAGCGGCGAGACGCGGAAGGATTCAAAGAGGGAGGACGCTGGCGACGCTCCCATAGGCGCTGGCGACGCTCCCATGGGTGCTGGCAGCTGCAGCGGCGATGGGGTGGGAGGCGCAGTGGCAGAGAATGGCATGCTGGCATCCGACGCGGAGAGCGCGAGCGGGGAGGCGTCTTCTTCTTCTGAGGAGGAATTCTGGGGAGTAGGAGGTTTGGAGAGGCCAAAAGACGAGGGAGACAGCTGCAGCATGCAGGAGAGGGCACGCCTGAGTCGATTGCAGAGGCGGCTGCTGTTGCTGGCCCCTTTTCAGAAGCAAGTGCGAGAGCAAGTTGCAGTTCAGCGGCTGACGGAGGTGCCCACCCAGCTGCCCCCTCTGCAGCACTTGCCTGTGCGTCTGGCGCGCAAGCACCGAGCGCTCCGACTGCTTAGGGAGAGGGGAGACAGGCTGACGGCGGCGCGACAGCAGCAGCACCAGCAGCGGCAGCAGGTGCTGCAGCAGCTGCTGGACAGTCACAGGAGGGCCTTCTTGCAGCAGCAACGAGATGTGCTGCGGCAGTTGCGTCGAGTGGCGGCTGCAGTGAAGAGGAAGAAGATGGCAGCAGTCGACGGGGGGGAAGGCAGCGCTGGGTGTGGTCATCCTCTGCATCCTACGGACTGCGGCTGCCCAGGAGGGGCCGCATTTGCGGCGCAGATGCGAAAGGAGCGTCTGGATGCGTTGCGAGTGAGGAGCTTTTTTGCGGCTTGTGTGTTTGGTTGCGACTTGCGTGTAGTCTGTGTGCTTGGGCTGCTGGGCTGCCGTGCATGCGCGAGTGCTCGTTGGCGGCAAGGCGCAGCGTTTTCGCGTTCTCTCCCTCCCGTCCTGTAGAGCGCTTCGCGTTCGATCCGAGCATTAGGACAGTCTCTGTGTGGGGCGTGCGTGATGCCGCTTTCTCCTGCGCCTCCGCAGAAACACGACGAGGCGGGATACCTCAAGCTGCTCCAGGAGACAAAGAACGAGCGGCTGCTGCAGCTTGTGCGCCAGACCGAGGGGTACATGCAGCAAATCGGCAGTCTTGTCGTTGAACAGCGCGAAAGAGAGGGCATCAGCGTCCCCGCGGTATGTATGCATGCATGCATGCATGCATGCTGGCTGCTGTGCTATCGAGCTGTCTGTGGTGCCGCTGAGATTCGGGACGGGCTGTTTCGACGCGTGTTTTGCGTGGCGGTACTGCCACTCTCCACGGGTTCTTTCGGCTGCCTTTCTTCGTGGCGTAATTTCTGCCGTCGTGCACTGTGCATGCATGCATCTTCTTGCAGACAGAGGAGGAGGCAGAGGGGGCTGCGGAGGAGGCCTCTGGATCGCTTTCGTCCTCGTTTCTCTTCTCGAAGGAGCGCTACTATCGCATTACGCACAGTCAACGGGTGCAAATATACACGCACACGCATATGCGGCGTTAATAAAGACACTAGTGTGCCTTCATAGATAAGGGATCGAGGAGCAGCAGAGTGGAGTGGCGAGGGGCTAACTGCTGCAGGCTGCAACAGGCTGCATCCGCTCAAAGAGCTGTACATTCAAGGGCCTTTAGAGCCGAGGTTGGATTTTTCGACGAGGGGTGATGGTGCTCGCCAGGGGGGCGGCAGTGCTGCTGCTCGGGGGAGGGGTTGTTGTTGTTTGTTGCATGTGATGCTGGGTATGCTTTCTCGCGGGGATGCTGCTGCGGCTCAGGAGAAAGTGACGGAGCTGCCGTCGTGCCTCAAGGGGGGGACGCTTCGATCGTATCAAATGGAAGGGCTGAACTGGCTTGTTTCTCTCCACAACAATGGACTGAACGGCATTCTCGTGAGTCTTCCCTCCGGTGTCAACTGCTCTGCTGCTGTGCTGTAGCCCTCTGTTTCTCCATGAGATAAATGCAGCGTGTGCAGTCGGCTGACAAGCGACGCCAGGAGCCGCGATTTTGCGTCTCCCAAAATGTCTGCTGTTTGCAGTTCGCATGGTCAAAAAAGAATGCTGCTGATGGGGAAATGGCTGCTTTTAGGAGGGGAGTTGTTTGTGCTGTGTTGTGTTGTCGGGTACACCGCTTGCCCTCTCGTGCTGTGCGTCGCTTTCTTGATGGAGCGCTTCACGCTTGTCTGAATACACACGCGCGTCGTATTGTTGCTGCTGCTTTGCTGTTGTCTGCTGCTTTGACAAAGGCGGACTGCATGGGCCTGGGAAAAACGGTGCAGACTGTCTCGTTCCTAGCTTACTTGTATGAGAAGAAGGGTGTTCGCAATCCACACCTCATCCTAGCTCCTCTCTCCACGCTTCATGGCAACTGGCGGCTCGAGTTCAAGAAATGGTGGCCATCGCTTCGCATTGTTGTCTACGAAGGCGCGAAGGACGTAAGGCAGCTGCATGTTGCATGCGCTCAAGCGACGCAACTTTGCATTCGATCGAGGTTCCCCCACTTCTCTCAGAAGCGCATCGTGCCGCATCCGTCCTCGCGAGCTTTCCTCCTTCCTTCCTCCTGCCCTCCTTCTTTGCGCGTTTCCCTGCTTGCCTAATCAACTCAGCTTTATGTTGTTCTGCGGTCTCTTCCTGTGTATCGCCCCACCCGTTTCTCGGCGTTTTTTGCTCTTTTTCTTCTTCTTCCTCTTCTTCCTCCTCCTCCAGTCGGTGTTTGTATGTGTATGTATGTATGTGTGTGTATGTATGTGTATGTATGTGTATGTATGTATGTATGTGTATATGTATATGTGCATGCTTTTGGCGCACTTTCCGCCCCTCCCCCCTATTTTGAGTTTTTCTTCTTCCCCTCTGCTACAGCGCTTCTGTATGCTTCGTGTCTCGCTTCGTCCCCGTCCCTCCCTCCCTCCGCCAGTGCCGCTTCTCTAGCCTACGATGCTTGCTCCTCCTCTTGAGTATGCCACTTCTTGCTTCTTGCACGCGGCCTGCTTGCCGTCCGCTGTGCCTTCCGCTTGCACATGCGCGCTTGCACGTGCTCTGGTGTCCTCTTGTGTGTCTCCTCCTTCTGCGCATTTTAATGCCAGTCAAACGCATCCTGCTGCAGGAAGCCTCAGCTCAGTAGCCTCAGCTCTGCCATTTGCCTCAGGTGCGCAAGGCTCTTCGCAGCCGCATAGTCTCGGGAGTGCGCGTAGAGGGCAGTGGTCAGGAAACGCAGCGATTTCTGGAGCCTCTCTTTGATGTACTTCTGACTACGGACGCCTTTGTGCTAAGAGACAAAAGCTTTCTCAAGAAGATCCAATGGGAGTATCTTATTGTTGACGAGGCTCACAGGTAGGCAGCGCTGCTCGTGTGGCTGGCACGGTGTGCAGACGGATTGTGTATGCCTCTCCGCCTCAAGAGGGGGCCTAAGGGGGGTCCCTTCTTTTAAGAGGCTGTCTGATTCAGCTTCCCTGTGGGTGTATGTATATATACACCACTCGGCCTTTCGACAGAGAGCTTTCTAAAGCAGCTTTTTTGTAAAGGGGGAAATCGACCGCCGCAAAGCCTCATGACTCCGTGTATACTGGTCCTTTCGGGGTGTCTCCTTCAGGCTGAAAAATCCGAATAGCAAGCTGGTGCAGACGCTGAATTCTGGATTTTTTATCCGCCGTCGTATCGCCCTTACAGGCATGTGCACCTCATGAATACCTGCTGCGAATTGGTCTCTCTGTCCTCACTTTTTCCTTTCAGTCTTGTTTGCATCATCAGCAACAATTATCGAGATGCCGCAAAGGGGCGCCGCACGGTTTACGCCTGTACCGCGGCGGCACTGCCCCTGTAGATTTTCTTTCTCGTTTTTTTTCGATTTATGGTCTGTTTTTGAAGCGGTGTGTCTCCCGAGTTGCAAAAAAGCCTCTCTAGAGTACCACCAAAACTGCTCTTTCGGCAGACGGCCGAAAGCAAGGAGCCATACGCGGTTCCTGTCCAGCGGCAGTCCCCCATGCATGCAAGCATGCATGGCCGTGCAACGGCAATATCTCTCGAATACGCCTGTTGCCAGCACTCCTGAGACGAGGAGGCATTCATACATTCGGCTTAGCTGTGAGTTGTGTCTGCTGCTGCTGCTGCAACTTACAGGCACACCCCTGCAGAATGACATTGTGGAGGTTTGGGCGCTTCTCAACTTCCTTATGCCCTCAATCTTCAATGCGAAGCTGAATTTTGAGCAATGGATGAACGTGCCTCTTGGAGGAGCTCCCTTAGGAGGGCCCGGAGCCACCGGAGAAGATCAGCCCCACGCCATTACCGTTACTGAGGAGGAAAAGCTTCTTATTGTCGACAGACTTCACAAGGTGTGCCTCGCACGCCTCTGGCATGGGGGCTTCATGGGCTGGCTGCTGCGCTGCGTCTCCCCACGTTTTCTGCTTTGCCTCCGCCTTCGATCCTCTTGGTGTGCGCTGCTGCCCCTCCCCAAAGCTTCCCCGTGCAGTCGCATGCGTTCGACGCCACTGCAGGTTCTAAGGCCTTTTCTACTTCGGCGCGAGAAGGCCGAAGTCGCCGACGAGCTGCCTTCCAAACAAGAGGAAATCGTGTGGTGCCCCCTCTCGGGCATACAGCGGATTCTTTACCGCATTGTAAGGCCCTTTGGCGCTAGAGGAGGTTTCCCGCTGAGCAGTGCACAACACCCTTCGCGGCTGTATTCTTCGCCCTTTATTTTAGGAGCTTTAGACATGCTTTAGGAGGACGCTTTAAGAAAACTTCGGATGGCTCTAAGGGGCAATGATGACTCATGTCAGGACCGCTAGTGCCTCATTGAGAACTGCGTGCTTGTGGGAAGCCGTCCTTTTGCTAGAGGTGCTGCTGCTGCTCGAGCGCAAGAGGTTTCAGAGTCTGGCAGTGCCACCCCCTCCTATGCGCATGCGCATGGAAGTCATGGCGTATGGTTTGAAGCCGCTTCTCTTTGATCTCAGATCGAAGAGAGCCCTATGGGACACAACCGGATGGTGCAGCTTCGCAAAGTTTGCAATCATCCTTTCCTCTTCTGCTTTAGCTCCTTCACGCGTAAGCCGATGAATTTTTCTGTCGTTTCTGCTTCTTCCCACGGCTCCTCCTCCTGCAGCAGCGGCACTCTAAGAGGCCTGCGCGGCAAAGACTCTGAGTGCTTCTGCTGCTGCCTTCGCCTTGCTTCGGCTATCGCAAAGCTTCTCTGGGTTGCCTGCCTGTTTGCGCTGCTTCTCTTAGCCGACGAGAGTCTCGTTCGCTGCTGCGGGAAATTTGCAATGCTGGATGTCTTGCTGCCGGCCCTGAAGGCAGCCCAACATCGCGTGCTCGTCTTCAGCCAAATGACAAAACTTTTGGATCTTTTAGAGGTTTGTTTGGAGAGGGGATTTGTTCTTCCTAGTGCCCCTGCGGCAAGAAGCACTTTTATGCAGCCCCTTGTTCTTCTAGCACCTACTTGAAGCAGCACCCATCTTTTCTTTAGGATGCATCCAATCCCTATTGCTACCAATCTATGTATATACATAGATACATGTGCATGCCTTTGCATATATATATACATTTATACATATATGAACATGCATATAAGCGCGTCATTCCCCATGTGCATGTGCTGGTCATCAAGCACACAGGGGAAACATATTCACCCCCAATATTGGTGGGGGCACCTCGCCTGTAGCGGCTCTAGGCCGTATGCTTCTTATCGATGTCGATGCAGGCTTGCCTTTGGGCTTTTTTCTCAGGCTTACCTGTCCCTCAGAGGCTACCGCTACCTCCGCTTAGACGGAGGCACTTCCAGTGAGGAGCGCCAGACTCGACTCGCCCTCTACAACCAGGAGAACTCGCCTTACTTCCTCTTCATACTTTCAACGAAAGCTGGAGGTAATAAAAATGGCGTAAAAGTAGTTTGCTCCAACTTTGAGTCGGGATTGATTTGTTTTTGATTTGGGGTTGATTTGTTTCCGCGTTGGGGTTGATTTGTTTCTGAGTTGGAGTTGATTTATTTTCGAGTTGGAGTCTGTCTTTGGGTTAAGTTCTATCATCGAGTTGGTTTGATCTGTAGGAGGTTCTATCTTGGAATTGTCTAAGAGAGCTCTCTGGCCTTAGGTTCTGAGGGAGTTGGAGGCGCTCCACTGCCGGGGGCACACAGGATCTAAGGTCTACAATCGGTTGAGTGCCTGATTTTTTCAGGATTGGGAGTAAATCTTCAGTCAGCAGACACAGTAATCATCTTTGACTCGGACTGGAATCCCCAGAATGATGAGCAGGCTCAGTCGAGGTATGTGTAGTACTCCAATAACTGTCTCGCTTTATTTCTTTCCTCTATCTCTATATCTGTCTATGTCCCTATCAGTCTATCCCTACAACTGTCTATTTTTCTATCTGTCTATATCTCTATCTGTGTATCTGTTTATCTCCCTATCTATTTATCTCTATATGTGTCTATCTCACTATCTGTGGATCTCTAAACTCCTAGATGGGATTAGGCTGCACTCTAAAAGGGAATGCCTCTGATGCAGAGCTTTTAAGGGAACGCTCGGTGGAGGGGGGGGCGTCGAGAGGCGAGGGGATATGAGGGGAAGGAGGCAACCCGCTGCTATTGCTGAAGGCGAACTCCTAACCCTGTTGATTGTCGCTGTTGCGTAGCGCAATGAGTGGCTTTGGAAAACATGTTCTGGCTTTGTGGGGTTGCCGCTGGGGGCCGTTCCATGCTGCTGCACTCTGACGTGTGAGTGACTGCGGTATTTTTGCTTTCTTTGTTGTGTGCCTTGCTGTCGCGTGTTCAAAGGGCACACCGCATCGGGCAAAAGCGAGAGGTTTTGACAATTCGGTTTGTAACACCTTCATCAGTGGAAGAGCAAATTCTGCATTCCGCTGAGCTGAAGCTCGACAAGGATGCGCTGGTCATCAAGAGCGGCATGTACAACGGCGAGCTCCAAGACAGAGAATCCGAGAGACAAGAACAGTCAGACAAACACAGGCAGTCGCCTTGGCAATGCATGCAGGAGCAGAAGGATGCAGACGCCTTGGCAAGGACAGAAAGAGGGGCACGAAGGGGGGGCCTGAAGAAGCTCTAGACGAATACAGTCCATCCGAACTTGCTACTGAAATGTGTTTTTTTGCTGCTTTTCGAGTGATTTGCGGAGGCAATTGATATACATATACATGTATATATGGCATCCTTGCCTGTTTTCCATGGCTTGCCTTGGTATTATCTGCTCCCTCTTTGCGTGTCTGTCCTGTATACTGGCGGTGTTCGCGCGTCCTCCCCCTCTCCCTTTGTATGTGCGTCTCTTCTGTATGCATCAAATGTCTCCTTTTTCTTATGCGTGTGCATAAGATAAAGTGCCCTGCTTTTTTGAGGCAGAGGACCTGTCTGTTAATCTGGAAATGCAGGGGTGGCTGTTTTTCTTGTGCAGAGTGCGAGAGATCCTGCGGCGTCGTAAGCAGCTCGAGGCTAACCTCACACGGCCCTTTGATTTTGCGATTCTGAAAAATCAGCTTTCGAGGAATCCCGAAGAGTCTCGCGTCTTTGAAGTTCTCCAGAGAATTAGACAAGTCCGTGGACTGCTGCCTGCTAGAGCGAGAGCTGATGTCTGCGTGTGGGAAAGTTGTCTGCTTCCTTCTTTTCCTGCTTTGCTGGATGTATCTTCGCCGCATACGGTGCTCCCCCTGAAAGGGTGCACTGTCGCGCATGGCGCTGTTTGTTGCTGTGGACACATGTTGCTCCTCACGCTGCCTTTTCGGGGTGTGTTTTGACACCACCGGAGAATCCGAATGAATGGGGGGCAGCCTACGGGGATCCTTTTCTGATGCGCCCGCTTTTCGCAGTTGCTGCATCTACCGGGCCTCATTTACGGAGAAGCGGTGCCGCCATGTCTGTTTCGCTGGTCGAAGACTGTCGAGCGCTCACAGGTGGTGCAGCATGGGCAGCGCGAGTCATCAATCCCTTCCGAGCCTACTGTCTTCTCGCTGCTGCCTGCCTGCCTTTCTCTAGTTCCCTTGAGATTCTTGCGACTCGCGCTTTCCGCTCTGTGGCCAGAGCACATGGTTTGCTGCGCGTGGGCTTTGTCTGCATGCCGTTTGCAGATCGAGTTGGTGCAGAACACAGCGCAAGCGGCACAGGACTGGAAGTTGGGGTACTCTCTGTCCGACTTTTGGTCTACCCAGCGCAAGAAGAAGATGCCTTCGGGATCGGTGTTGCATCTCCAGCTCGTGGGAAGCAGCAACAACGCACCGCTATCGCTTTTTCCCGCTGCAAGTACTACCACACCGACGGCTGGCAGTGACTACAGCCAGCAAGCGAGGCTTGGGGACTTGTCTCTCCAGCAGCAGCAGGCTGCTCAAGCGCAAGAGCTTCTCCAGCCGCAATCGCTGCAAGACCACCAAGAGGACAAGCAGAGAGACGGGCAGCCGGAGCAGCAGCAGCAGAGGGTGCAGCAGCAGCAGAGGGTGCAGCAGCAGCAGAGGGTGCAGCAGCCCTTCGAGTGCGCAGTTGCCCCCCTTGCTGGAGCGGGGGTTAGCAGTTTCGCGGAGCTGTCAACTCCTCATGCAGCGACGGAAGCATCAGGGGCAGGAGCGGCAGACGTTGGGGTCGAGAAGGGGCCAGCATCCGTTCTGGACAGAGGCACACGCTCTGAAGAAGAAAGCAGAACGGCTAACAGCGGGCTTGTCTCGCCGTCGGGGGGTGTTGCTCTTGCTGCTGGTAGTGGTTCTGCTAGGACTGGTGCTGCCTCCGCTTCTCCCGCTTGTGGTGGCGCACTTGTCGAAGCAATTGCAAGTACTCTGGAAGCGGGAGTTCAGGGGGATGCAGCACCTCCAGAGGCTCGAGGCGACGAGAGGAACTCCGCTTCACGCGCTGCAGCAAACGCAGAGGAGGCAGTGTCTGGCGCAGACACTGCCGCTGCAGCCCCCATAGCGGAGGCTGCGGATGCGGGCTTCTCGGATCTGACAATAACACCCACTCCCGCCACGTCGGATATCGCGTCCTCCGTTGCAGCGGCAACAGGAGGAGAACGAGCAGCGGCTGCAGTCGTGATAGACTCCGCAGCAGACGCGGCAGATCGGCTTTCCTTGAGTGCAGCGAACTGTCACCGGGAGGGAAGCCCTGCCCATGCAGCTGCTGCAGATGAGGCCCCTGCTGCTGCTGCTGCTGCTGCTGCTGCTGCTGCTGCTGCTGCTGCAATCCGAGGAGGAAGCGCCGCAACAGGAGGCGCAGGGGGAAGCAGGGCAGGCGTTCCTGGTGGGAGCGAGGATTTTGAGGATCCCTGGGGTTGCGGGGAGGGCCTTGAGGGAGACACTGCGGGAGCCTCCGCTGTTTGCCTCGCGGATCCTCAGCGGTGGAAGACTCTCCTCAACGGAGCGATCTCCCAGGCGCTCACCGAGGCTATACAGGATCCCCGCTTTTCAGCGTTTGTGGAGCTGCCAAGCCTCGCCGTGTACAAGGACTACTACGAGGTACTCGAAATCCCACAGAAGAAGACTTCGCTGCTGTGCTTGAGGCTGTCGTGAAGTGGCCTTGTCTTATGCGCGTGTAGCTCTCTCTGCGTCGTCGTGGTCTGTCGCGCTTGTGTGCCTCTTGCTCCGCTGAATTCTGCTGCTGCCTCCCCTCCAGGCGTCTTGGAGGGAAGGAAGGACTCTCTCTCGCTATTTCTGTATATCTCTCTCTCGCTGTACACTCGCTTAGGAGGGGGTTCGACCCTGTCTTGTCGTCTAGACGCGACTCCTGTCTCTCTTTCTCTCTCTCTTTCTCTCTTTCTTTCTCTCTCTCTCTCTTTCTCTCTCGGCTTTTGCGCAGAGCAGCGAACTTTTCTTCTTCCACGCTGTCGACGCATTGCACGCGTTCCCATACGCATGATACCCCCTCTGGTGTGTCTGGCTGGGGGTGTTTACTGCAGCGCGTGCCCAAACCCGTCTGCTTGCTGCAAATCCGCAAGTTTTCTGACAAGCAGGAGTTCACGTCTCTTAAGTGAGAGGGCCCTTCTCCCTGCGCCACTCGCTGGACCATCATTCCCCTGAAAGCGCCGTTCTTCCCAATAAGCGTTTTAATGCTGCAAAAGCGACTGCCATGGAAGAGGACTCCTTCTTGCAGGCTTCTTCGTGGCAGCGGGTAACGGGAAGGGGAGGGGAGGGTCTTAGTCTGACTCATGCTCTGCGGGGGCATGCGTTGCAGCAAACTTGAAAAGTATCTGACACGCCTCGCAGAAAACGCGAGGGCTTATAACGGGCAGGAGAGTCCCCTCTTCCTGAGAGTGCGCAGCTCTACTTTTCCCCATTTCCTTTGGACGCCTGTGGCCGCTTCTCCTGTTAGCTTCCCTGGAGAAATGCGTCTGCTGCGCTGCCGATGCATGCATGCCTCAAGCTGGTGCGCTTTTTCGTGTGTGTCCTCAGGCTTTGGAGTGTATAGGCTCCGTGCTGATGCGCAGTCGCGTGAATGCTTGCATAGCATTCCATTCGCTGCATAATCCCACCCAGGGCGAAAGGATGCACCGCCTTTTCCAAGTCTACCGCAGCTGCTGGGACTCAACAGCCAGCACGCCGTTACCAGGTATTTCTCCCTTGCATCCACTGGGGCAGTAGCCGTGATCTTGGAGGCGCATCCGCTTTTCTGTGTCTTCAAGCGGGTGTTTGTCCGTCTGTCTCTGTCTGCCTGTCTGCCTCTGTGTCTGTCAGTCTCTCTCTGTCTGTCAGTCTCTCTCTCTCTCTCTCTGTCTCTCTCTCTCTCTGTCTCTCTCTCTGTCTGCCTCTCTGTCTTTCTGTCTGTCTGTCTCTCTCTGTCTTTCTTTCTCTCTCTCTCTGTCTCTCTCTCTGTCTGCCTCTCTGTCTTTCTGTCTGTCTGTCTCTCTCTGTCTTTCTTTCTCTCTCTCTCTCTCTCTCTCTCTCTCTCTCTCTCTCTCTCTCTCTCTCTCTCTCTGTGCCTCTCTCTCCTCTCTTTTTTTCACTTCTCCTCTTCCACTAGAAAAACACATCTTCAGTTTGCTTTTTTTTTTTTACAAATAACATTGACTATCCAACACACCACTTCTATTGTTATAATGTATTA